TTGAGTGGTACACGCTTCCGAAATGTTGAAGAAGTGCGAGAATGGGTGGACGAATGGATTGCTTCGAAACAAACATCGTTTTATCGAGATGGTATCGCCCAGTTGCCAGAAAGATGGCAAAAAGTTGTAGAAAGTGATGGAAAATACTTTCATTGAAATAATTTAAATAAATTTTTTACAATAAATGCTTTTTCTCAGTATTTTTTGGGCGGAAACTAAGTTAAGGTCCTAATATTATAATGATATATTTACTTATATTAATATAAATATTTAATGTATAAATAGTTTTTTAAATATTAGGAAATATACATTTGTGTATATTCAACACAAATTCGAAAAAGAAACAGATTATGTTCTCTTTGAACACCAGATAATTAAGAAGATTTTAATAATAATATTTTAATAATGTAGGATATTTTTTGTGTGAGAAATGACTTTTTAATCGAACGATAAAAACATTATTGTAATAAACGTAATCATTTATTGGATGGAAATCGAGCGTTTTTGTGCGCTTCGCGGTAACATTATTTCAAGCGATAAACGTTTATATGTTGCGGCAAAATTGCTTGGCACATTACTTTGGTTTTGTGTGTGAATTTATAATTTATGCGAATGCAAATTTCAATGCGGAAAATAGACGGATGTGTCGTGAAAGCGCACACAAAATGTATACATAGCCAGTTTACCGATCAAACGTAATTAACTTGTTAATTGTGAGCGCAATATTTGCATTCAACTTTAGGTAACAATATGCGGGCATTCCCGGTGTAGCTACGTCAATCTATCTTTCTCACGAGCCAGCTCTCTAACGAGTTAAATTTTCAAATTAATAACAAATACATTCTGCACCTTTCCAAGCAGCTAGCAAGTTTCAATTCGATTGAGTTGTAATTGTTGGTAAAATAATCGTAGATTAAATTAGGTCGTTTCGATATAAGACATGTTTTCAATATTTTTCTCTCTCTTTCTCTGTCTTTTTCTCGTATTTTCTCGTTACTACTACTAAATCACGCTTTGCACTTTCGATTTTTCGTTTTGCATACCGATCGCGTGAAGGTTAAAGAGCTTTATATGTAACATGGATTTCCTCTCTACGACAATGCGCCTTACAATAAAGATTCATCGCACATCTTGAGAACTTCCACGGCGTTTTCCCTTGGGACGGACCGACCAAAAGGTTGCCGACAACGTTAACGGGTTTCGTCTTTATCCGAAATTCACGACGCCGTAAAAGCGCGCGAAAACTACGCTCCTCGTTGATAAGAGATCGACTTTCCTCGCGCGCGTTAAAAGAGCTACATGTGCGGATTATTAATGCCGCAATGGGAGTGGACCCGTGAGTAACGATGCACCCTCGAATATATACCGAATTTTCGGATGGCATACGTTAAGGCTAATTGGACTTCGCTGCCAAAAGAGAGATGCGCGCAGATGTTAAACGACTTTAGCTGATTTCGAGTGAAGTTCTAGCGAGCAGAGCGGTAGTGTAGTGTTAAACGTGGCGGTACATTTCGCTTCGAGACATCGAGCGTCGGCATATCTACCGTCGCGATGACGTACGATCCAGGAACGATCGATCACGAGAGTGCGAAATGGGACATGTCGCGCTAATTGCGCCAGTTAACACCAGTTGCCGACAATTGCGTGCTATGTAATATTGCTTAATGGCGCTTGGCGGTTGCGAATATCGAGCGTGACCGACAAGTCGAGAATCGGTTATCAGTCGTGCGGCTTAAAACTACTCGCGGCAGGTGATATTCAACATTTATCCCGCTGCACGCTCGCTAGTGTTGCGCGGTTCCCAATATCCGTTCGTTTCACTTTTTTTTTTGCTCTTGCCGAACGCCAATGCGCGTTCTCGAAATTCTCCGCGGTATTTCCGGATCACTAGGTGTATTTATAGCGCGATTTGCGGTCAAAGTATTGACGGATGCGCTGGCTTATCGGACTGCATAATTCCCTCTTCTCTCTCCCCCCCTCCCTATGACGAGCGGAACGGGTCTTTACATGGAAAAGTGCCAAGTATCATGACGCATCGATAAGTTCCCGCCTTGAGTTTATGCCCGCGACTTTGTTTACGAAAACTAACGAAAACAGTTTGATGATGTCACCGATGATGTCAACAATGGCGCGTTCATTTGCTTACGTCGTTGGCCAAATATACTGAGAGAGAAAAATATCTAAAAAATAAAAAATATTTATTTGCCGGCTACTGATAACACAATTTGTATAAAATTTCATGTTAAAGTTGATAACATTGCACACGTCAATTTATCCGCTCTAATTTTGTGTTATTTTGATACAAGGAAAATATATAAATAAATAATATAAATGTGTCAAAAATTACCACAAAAATATAAAACTCGGATATTATCGTGTTACTTTAACGCTTAAAAATGGTAAATATAAACTCAACGATCAAATTAACAACGTCAATATGTTAAATTAACACATGAGTGTATTAAAAACTCAACATAAAAATTCTTGTACGAATCGATTTCAACACAAATACAAAATGTTTTTTACCGTGCAAATTTACTTGTAAAAATATTTTTCAGATAAGAAAATATACATTTTCTTAAGATCTTAGCTTTTTACGAAAACAATTGTTTATCTTATTTAAATAAAAGAATATAGATTTAAATAAATATGATATCAATACTCATGAAATAAATATTTTCTATTTTTTCTCACAGCATATTAATATCTATAACCGAGAAATTAATTTTCTTTGATCAAAGTCTAGAAGAAGCTTATACTGTTGCCAAATTTCCCAGTATATTTCTGTATACAAAATAAATTATTTACAAATCAATTCCGAAAGATGTACTCGCGTGAGCGCTCGTTAATGAACTTTTGATTCTCGTATAATCAAGTCAGTATCGTTAACTATCATATCGTTTTCGGAGCGAATATTGAAATATGTTGAGATATTCAGTTTCCCCATAATTCAATATGTTGAACGCACGAATTAACGTTTAATGCTGCAAAATCCCACATGAAAACACATCCGGCGTAGCAACAAATAAATGCTTCACAAACATCCCCGTCATTTCATTTAATCTTCTCTTTACCAGCACTATACCAGACTGCCCACATACAGCTGTTACAGTCATCACACACACATCAATGAACAATATAATCTCCTGTATGTCAATAACGCCATTATGTCAATAACGCCGTTATCAAATCACTCGCGATCGTCGCGGCGTGTTCGGTCTCGACATGTTGAAAGTTCAAACTTGAAAATTCAACTCACCTCTCAACGGGGGAAGGACGTCGCCAAGGTGTCAGACGCGCATCGATGGACAGCAGCTCCTCGTCGTGGCTCACATTTCGCGGCACGATGATCCACGTGACGAGCGCGGCGTGACAGCCACGTGTCTACGAAACGACCACTTCGCGTGCTCCGACGAGACTGGCTGGCTGGCTGGCTGGCTGGCACCGGCCGGCACCGGCGACACGATCCGTTGACAAGGGTGGCTGCGAGAAGACTGCCTCCTCGCCGTATAATCTTCACTCCGCGACCGCAACACTAAGAATGAGCCACGCTCCCAGATTCATCGCGTCGTACGCGTCCGTCCTTCGTCGAGGTCGCCGTTCTCGGCGCCAAAGTTTCGAGAGTCCTAGACAGAAAACAACACACCGTGTGTTTATCTTGGAGAGTGCTTTTTTGTGTCCGCAAGTGTAACGATTCATATCGACGTACGGAAGTAAATGACAACAATGGGGACGGGGAAAGGGATATGTTTTTATTGAAGACATCGTAAAAATGGATCTTCTACATAACGTAACCAGAACTAGGATTCTGTAACACGTTATTTGAGTTAACGACAGTTTCGTTATCGTTGCGCAACTTTTTTACGGTATACGAAAGCTGCGCAACGATAACGAAACTGTCGTTAACTTTAATAACGAGTTACAAAATCCCAGCCCTGAAGAACTACTCTATTGGCGCTTCCGAACGCGATTTCAATGTAGATCGATCTATTGACATTAGATGACAGGAGAAATCGCCGCTGTCATTACGCGGCAAAATTGCGCGTGATTTATATCAACAGTGTTTGGTACGACAGATAAACTTTGGCGAAATTTTCAGACGAAAAACTCGACTCCCATCCTCGCGTCCGATAATTTCCGCCGTAACGAGATTCGATCGTATTCTCCGTTCGCCGAAAGCGAATATTCGCTAACGAAATCCGATTCTAACTACGATGTAAAATGCTTGCCGCTAAACGCGTCTGTAGCAAAGTTTCGGCACAATCCACTCGATTGTCACGTTAACCGAATTGGGACGAGTAACGAAATCTCACCGTGTTCCGCGTTTCTCTCCCCACTTTCCGGATTCTCTCTGAGCTTCTGCTCGCGTCAGGTGCTCGTCGAAAGCACCTCTTGGCAGGTCAAGTTAACTCGAGATGCTCGAAATCGCGTCACGATTGCGTCAAATTAGTGTTGCGTAGCGATCGACATCGAATTCGCGAGCGAGGACTATCGATCACTGTAGATCAGGGACGAAGATCGCGTGTGGAAATCACAGACACGACTACGAGCGCGACCGGCTGCGGCCCGCGACTGCAACCAACTACCTTATGTTCCGCGAACGCGCGCGCGGAACCGCGGCGCGCATGTACACTCTGTTCCGCGGGTGTCTTGCCATTCGATAGACTGATACAAACTTCCGACCAGCCACATTCGTTTATAGCTACGCGTTTCTCTTCACTGTTAATTAATCTAAAGGACACTTGTCCGTTTTCTAGGTTAATCAACAGTCATGGAAAATGCATAGTCAGATACGCACAAGACAAAAATACTTGAACATTTATTTGTAGAGTGTAAAGTTTATTTCTGTGAATAAACTTTATATTCTAAAAAATAAATTTTCAAGTATTTTTTTCACGATATACGAATGGACAAAAATGTTTAGTACCTTGAGAAAAAATATTTGAAAATAATAAAAAGATAAAAATAATAAAAAAATAATTAAAAATTTATATGCACGATATAGAAATTATCTCACAGAAAAACAAACTTTATATCATAAAAATAAATTTTAATTTTTTTGTAGAAATAAATAATTATTTTACATAGATATAATTTTATTTTATAGAAATTTCTAAGTATTTTTTTATCAATATAACTATCGTCTATACCGAGAAAAAAACTTGAAAATTTATTTATGTGGAATTTATATGTGTAAAATATAAAGTTCCTCTTAAAAAAACTCATAACTAAAAAAAATTTATTTTATAGAAATAAACTTTAATTTGTAAAAATAAACTTTATATTCTACATAAAAGTTCAAATTGTCAGTGCAAGACATCTGCAAAACTGACAAATAAATCCACCCAAAAGTTACATTCCGATTTCTTTCTAATTTGACACAAATATAGAAATATAAAATATATTTGGGTTATATTTTTTATTTTGGCCTATTTTGAGTTTCACGGACAGTTTATAGCTTTTAATATTCTCACTCCTATCATTATCAAGTGCAACAAAAATGCTTAAGAAATAAAATTGTATACAAGATAATGGCGTTTTTGGTTTGCTGATTATGAATATGAAGTTAAATTATTTATAATATAAATAATATTTAAACAAAACATGTAAAAAATTAAAAAAGAATTATTTATACAAATAATTTCTCGGTTTAGCCGAGATTCGAGCCATTTTTTACAAATTTAGCACAGATTTGAAATATTTCGGTTGGAATCTCGGCTAAAAAAGAATTTAGAATGGTTTGTGTCTTAGCTATGCCGATTTTGTTAAAATTATTTAACTATATCTTGTATTCAATTTTATCTCTTATGCATTTTTGTTGTACTTGTTGATGATAAGAGTGAAAACATCAAAAAGCTATAAATTATCTCAATGAAACTCGAAGTGGGCCAAAATAAAAAAAAATATGACCTAAATATTTTTTTATACTTCTACATTTATATCAAATTAGAAAGAAATTGGAGTGTACTTTTTAGGTAAGTTTACTCGTGAGTGTACATTCCTTGCTAAAAACCAACGCTACCAAAATTCGCGATCACGTATATCTATCATCGTCATTCTATGTACCTATTTCTCTAATTACTGCTATATTTTTAATTTTTTATTAAAATTTGACGATTGTCTGGTTTTATTGCTACTTGAGTGACTTGATGATAATATAAAAGACGCCGAAACGACACGTCGCTACGTGCACCGATAGCCGAACGGGAATGAGAACATTACTCCTTAATAGCGTACTCATGATATATGCCGACGATCGCACATTGCTATTTTGACACTCCCGATACTCATTTCCGTACGAGACTCACTTTCAACAGACGAAATACGTGTAACACGCAGAGCGATATAGATCGATATGTCAATGTCGGTTGCTCGGCGCGGAAAAGTCGAAAATGAACGCGCAATTGGCGACGTACGCCGTTTACTAAGGCCCGATCTACAGTAGATGGAGTAAGGAGTATGAGTAGGAGTAAGACGAAATGGAAATAATTTATTTCACTTACTCCCTTACTCCAATAAAAGTTTGCCCGTCTATATCACATGGAATAAACCTGAATTAAGTAGTAAGAGCTGGAGTAAGGGAATAAGCGAAATAAATTATTTCCATTTCGTCTTACTCTTACTCCTTACTCCATCTATTAGATCGGGCCTAACGCTGCGGTGTGAATAGTGTCGCGCTCCTTCAACTACGCGCTCTAACATCCTTCTCTTTCTTGTTAACAAACCGATGTTACCGAAATTCAATGTCGCGTATATTTTTCCGGCGTCATATTATTTTTCTATTTACCTCTAATTCCTAATTCCCAATTAATAAATCCGACGATTGTCCAGTCCTATATTGCTATTTGAGTGTAACAGTGCTAATAACAAGTGTACGAGGCCGACTCGACACGTCGCGACATGTACCGATTAGAAAGATCAAGATTCGAGAAGATTACTTACTGTTGACATCCTGACGACACATCCCGACGATCTACATCGCTATCTCGACATATTCACTTTTGCGCGAGATCCACTTTCGACAGAAGAAAGAAATCTGATACGCGGAGCGATGTAGATCGATATGTCAATGACGGTTGCTCGGCGCAGAAAGGTCGAAAATGAGCGCGCAATTGGCGATGTACGCCGACAACTAGCGCCGCGGCGTGAACGGTGTCGCGCTCCTGCAACTACACGCTCTATATATCTCTTTCTCTCTTGCTAACGGACCGACGCTAATGCCCAAAATTTGACGTCGCGTATATCTCTAGCGTCATATTATCTTTCTATTCGCCTCTAATTTCTAATCCCCAATTAATAAGTAAGACAATCGTCCGATTTTATTGTTATTTGAGCAAGACGGTGATAATAACAATTACAGAAGACGCCGAGTCGACACGTTGCGACAAGCACTGATTGTATGTATCGTAAAATAAAAAGATTACTTCATAATGAAGTACTTACGATGTGTTCCGACGATCGCATATCGCAAATTTCGACACTCCCAATACTCATTTCCGCGCGAGACTCACTTTCGATGGATAAAAGACTCGTAAAACGCGGAGCGATGTCGATCGGTGTGTTCCTGGCGGTTGCTCGGTGCGAAAAGGCCGAAGTTGGTCGCGCAAGTGACGACGTATAGATAGATCGATATATTCGATAAATCAATCTATTCGACAGATCGATAAATAAACTAACAATTTTCGATCAGCCGTATTCAATTTTGATTTACATGTTTCTCATTATTGTTAATTAATCCAGAACACACGTTCCCGCTTTCTGTATTAATCAACAGTAATGAAAGAAAGTAAAAACTTCCAAATACTTTCAAATATTTTAGATAATTTACACTTTTCACGAGTTTTTACATTAAGGATAAAGATTCACGACGACCCACTCTTTGAAATTCATTCAATCTAGTGGAGTATAAATATTCCACGCGTTCTCTAATACACATATACATATTATCATTTTAATTTATAAATTTCACTTAAATATGTTCAAAAGAAAACGATTTCTCTGTCTCTTTTTCTGTATGGCTTTTATAATCAATGAATAAACACAAGAATTTTGTATTTGAAAGTTTAATTTGAATCATTTAGACTGCAAACTTCGAATCAAATCACTAACTAAAGTCAGTGAGAAGTTTGAAATTAAATCAACAACTGAATTCTATTTACCAATGCTCTCTTAAAAAATCAACTCACTAAATCAACTTCTCTGCCGTATTTGTTGAATGCTGTTGTGCTGTTCCTTCAGTTTTCACCTATCTGAATTTTTCATACAAAGCATCGACGTTTTATAGAGATAAACATGTTATATGCGGAATTTTCTTTACATGTTACACTGGTATTTACGTGTCAAACTAGATAGAATATTTTGTCCTTCCAGATTGAGCAAAGGCGAACTGTGCAGTGCATATGGAAAAGAGACAAATAAACGAAACGTTTGAAATGGGTTGTGCTTCCGCACATGAAAAATAGAAAAAATGCGTTCCGCTGGTCGTATTTACGAAACCTTTAACAGAACATAGCTTCAACTCACATAAAATATTTGACGTGCAAACGGCAATCGAGTAAATCACGCTACAAACATGTTGGAGTGAGAATTATTAAAAACTAGTAACAAGTAATTGTTATCTACTGGGAACTTTCGAATGAAATTCAATCAATTTTTGTTACTGAGTTTTCAAACTTGGCAACGGGAAACTTAGTAAAAATGGAAGTAAAGTGACACGCAATCACAATTACTACAATATAGCGCAGACTTGATATAAAATGTATTTAATATCCGCTTTTTTACAATTTCTTTTTTCTCTTTCCTACTGCGATGTCAATCTCCCTGTTCATGATCGATAGATCGCGGAACGAATTGCGAGAGGAAATGCCTGCCTGCCACTTATGGGAGTGGAAAATTTGCGGTCATTCACGAGCAACGAGCCGAGATTAGATACCGCCGGGTGAAAAGGTGGACGACCATTGAGAGTTATGGTAATGGAACGAGGTGGATGACCCAATTTTGAAAGGACAAAAGGAACGTCCCCGTTGCGCCGGGACAAAGTGCCGACCTGGCCGCATAGTGTGAACAGGGCCGCTTAGAAAGGAGAATTTCCGAAGACTACTGATATACCTCTCTCGCGAGATCCTGAAAAAATAGAAATAAAAAATCTAACTGAAGGGGAATATGTTAGGATTGGGTTTTTATGTGCGTTAAACATATCTTTATCTATGTACGCGATGGTTCATTAGTTCTAATTGCAGACTCTCTTTAATTAATTGTTTATGTGTAGGTTCTGCAAGATTTACATCCGCTCCTGATCCCAAGTGTTGCAGCGTGCGCTTGACAGCGATAGCCGTACACGTTATTTCACCCCAACGAGATAGAAGAGCACCCTCGGGATGAAGGACCGCGGAGGTATGGGCACTCCGAGTTACGATATGCCAAGGTATGTTTTTTTTAAAACGTTAATTCGTGAGTGCGTGTTAATCTGTCCTACAGGAGAAATGCGACTCGCTAACTTTTGTTTATTAACGAATTCGAGGTAGAGATAGAGAGAGAGAGCGCAAGCCTACTTGCGGCACAAAACTGCCCATCGAGGTTTGTTAATAAAAAAGTCTGAGTCGACAAAACTCTAATTGTCTTATTCGTCTGTAAAAGAAAAAGATAACATATTAAAAGATAAATATTTCGAGCGAATTACTGTTCATTAAACGATTAACTCGTATATATAGTAGCGTGTAACTTGGATGACGCGTATCTCGCTATACAACTGTCTAACTAAACTGGAAGTACGGTAATCAGATTTCATTGTATGAGACAAGGTAATAGTCAGGCATTCGGAGTCGCGGGAATGGAATGAAGTGGATGACCTAATTTGCAATGAACAAAAGCTTGGCTACATAAACTCGACACATGAAGGAGTGGCGCCGAGGTTTCGACAAGGTCACCTGGTGCTGGCCTTGACGGATTACTTCGGGAGACACGGAGGGACGTTGGCGGTATGACGTTGACGATTGCTTTAGCGAAAAATATAACGTATATTTCGATCGATAACCATCGAATACAAAACGTTAGAATATATTCTTACTTATTCGTAAAATTCTTTCTCGTCGCGTGTGTGTACTATACAGAATAACGAGAATGTTTTTCAATCAAAAGTTAAAAATTCAAATCGTAAAATTTACACAATATACATGTACAAGAAATAATAAAGTATTATTTACAATAAATGATCTTTCAACAATTCGTACTTTCTTATCGTAGCTAGCCGTCATGGCTCAGTTCATTCGTCGTACTCGTTGCAAAATTCAATCTCGTGATATGTTTCTGCTATCCAGCCTAGGAGATACTTGATTTTTTCTGTCGCCTCATCGGTAGCTTTGTAACCCTCGATGGCTTCAGTAAGACATTTTGATATCAATTTTAACAAAGGCTGTAAATGAGAAACTTGATATTAAATACAGAAATACGAAGAGTGGGTTAACTCAACAATGGGAATAAGTCGTTAGATAACAGTAAAATATTTGTGAAAAAATATTTGAATAATTTGTGAAAGTATCAAGTAAGACTAGGAAAATTCGCGTGATGTTTTATATAATAGATACATATCTATAATATATAATTATTTTATATAGTTTGTATATTGTTTAAAAATTATACGTCAAAAGTATATTTCTATCTTTTTCACATTTTATTCGTGTGATTATGACATTTCATATTGCATCACTCATCACTCATATCATATTGCATATGCTTACCACGGGCCAGTCTTGCCTAAACAAAGCTACACATTGATCACTCAGACTGTCTCCATCAAGTATCTTAGCTTCTAGCAATCTTCTCAAAAATTTACCATAGATTGGCCACATCGTGTCGTTTTCCGGCTGCGCAAGCAACATGATATTTCTAGGACAAAACAATCTATGCATAGGCGAGTCAGCTTGGTCATCTTTCGCACACAAACAGTCTAACGACCATATCTTAATTAATTTATCTTGTACTTCTCGTGCGAAGAGATCCGTTCTGTATGCAACTGAAAACAAAAAATATAATAATCATGCGATTTTATCGTCCTCTGTGTTTTATGCTATTAGATGTACCTAAAAATAGGGAGAAGTCGATACTGAGATTATATAAGACTTTTTCCGGTCCCGGTAATAGATCAGCCCTTTGATTGAATGCACAGTACAGTTTGTCTAAAATATCCAATACCGAAGACATAGTTATATCCTCGCCTTGATTATCCACCATATTCCATATTAATTCCTGTGAAAGAAACAAGAATATAGAAATGTATATCAATAAAGGAAGAAAAAAACCGTGCACATTCCAAAAATATATTAAAAATGTGACTCAATAATTTTGTAGTCTAGAAAATATAATGTACATGATGTCATTACATAATACATTTTAATCATTATATTAAAGAACCAAGCAACCATAATAACGCATTAGATGTTTATTTTTTGCTTAATTTAAGTTTAAATTATGAGGATTCTTACTCTGAGCTCATCTATTACAATAGTAGGACTAGGAGCGTCTGAATTGTGATGTTTCTCCTGCTTGGTGTGCATCGGACTGCTATTCCGAAGAAACCTGTTGATCTCGAGTTCCATGTCCTTTATGAATAAAGAACCACCGACGATGTGCGATTGGATCCATTGATATATCCGTTCCATAGCCATTCTAGTTGTAATCTTTATACACATCTCTTTAACCGGTGTCAAAGAGTCTTCCGCAAGTAGCGACTCTATCGACGTTGCGACTCGCGCTTCGCAAATTAACGGAATCGTTTTTTCGCATTGTTCTTTCAATTCCTTTGACACATTATGGGCTAAAGTACTCATGTCGCTTGCGAGAAGATCCTGGATATTAAGGCAAATCAAATGTGGCCCTTCGTTATTTTTTTATGTAATGTGTAATATAGGTTTGTTACATTGTAACATTGAAATACAACACAAGATTATCTTTTTGTACAAAAAAGATTGTTACCTTAAATTCCTTAATCGTATTCACAGATGATTCGCTTTGTGTTTCAGAATCTCTCTTAACGTGCATTTTTTTCAAGATTTGCCGAAAAGAAGTCAAATTAGCTTCTCGCGAGGAAGACAGCATCGTATTACATATGTGCTTCACGCAGGTCGACGCAACCCTGTCAGAGACGAAATCGACGGTTTTTCGGGTGGAAGCTGGTTGACCATGAAAGAAAGCTTCTTCCAATTGGAGCTGTCAAAATATAAAAAAAAGTTAATTATCTATAAATAAAGCATACACAGGAAGTATAATTTCAAAAATATAAAAGATAGCGATGTACCTCTAAGTGTTTGGCACGTGTGCTACCATTAAGTTTGCGCAATTGACTGGTGACAGGGGTGACGTGTTTATTGGAACTGATACTCAAATTCATTCCATTGCCGTTGAACGCAGAAATCGTCGATTCTGTTCGTGGGCAACACATGCGCATTGTTCTGTCAGTGATTATATCCAGTTTATCTAAACTACATTTGACGGAAATTGTACAGTCGGTGACACAAGGAGAGTTCCTTTTCTGAACGGAAGACTTCTCCATTTGTTTGAGAGTTTTTAAATCCTTGATCTTGCAAGTATTCTGCCAAATAATATAAAAGTCCTTGGGGAAGTGTGGCAACTCGAATAGCCAGCACAGACTGGACTTTAATAGCACAGCCGCTTGTTGAGAGATTAGACAGTCGGAAGTAGAGAAATCGGTGTGATTAATAGCACAGTAAACGCAATACAGTAGTTCTGAAACCTGCTTGTAGTATGGTAACCGAAGTGATACTGCGTCCATCATGGCTAAATACTTCACTATCCAGGGTATCGTCAAGGAGAGCTTTCCCTCGATTATGGCGTTCTGAAGACACATTTGTAAATTTAACGACGGTAAAACCTAGATAACACAATAATTGAAAATCATTATTAAAAATTTGCTGCAATCTATTTGTAACATTTGATCATTTCTAATACATACCTTGCTTCTTATTTCTACTTGTGTCATTATTATCTCCTTGGTAGTAGATTCAAATCTATATGGCAATGACACTAAAAGTCCTAATACTTTCGCAAGAAGCCTTAGACTGGATAAACAAGTAGTAAAATTCTGCTGTGTTTGTTCATCAACCATTGTTTCTGTATTAAAAGCAAGGAGTAAAAATCTATTATTTTTTGTTGCTCGAGCATGTCTTATAAGTAGCTCTGTTCAAATAATAGAAAAAATGATTGATACCTGAATCTTCTATTTCACTGTTAGCAAATTGGTTATCATTTAGCTCCATTATCTCATGGACAAAACAGTTCTCTAGATGAGAGTAAAATATTGGGTTAAATGCATGTAATATAAAATCTTTAAAAAATTCCTGTATTCCAGGAAACGAAGGACCAACATTGTGACTTTGTGACGGCAAGGGAGTCACGAATCTTTTACTGAGTTGTGTCAACTTTTCAGGATTAACATGTTTTAAGGCTTTCAAGAAATTTAAACTCTCATCATCCACCATGTCATCCTATAATTTAAATAATTACTTAATAGAAATCTTATAAAGATGCAACAGAAAATACAAATGTCTAAAGTTTACCTGATGTCCATTTTGTATACACGATATTAGTAGTTGAGATTTAAATAATCTAGCAATGTGATAATAATTAGTGGAATCATTGTGTAACGTCAACATAGATCGTATTTTGCTACCCAGTGCAATTTGAAACACCCATCCTGATACTAAATGATTTTCCTCCCAAATCCGTAATATGTCATAAAATACATCTCTTTGCTTTCTAAAGGTTTGAAATGCAATAGAGGATGAGAAGTTCTCACGATTGTCAGTATCAATTTGAAAGCACACGTTTATCTCTCCCATTGCGTATAGGAGTTTCTGACACTGTACACAGTGCTGACTGGAAATAATATAAAGATGTCACGAATTGAGTAAATTCACTTGAATATAGCAAAATTATAACTGGTACGCGCAAATTCTTAATCACCTGTTCGTTAATTAAATATCGTGTTCCTCTGAATTAAATACTTAGACATTCCTCGTAAGAATGTTGCTATCCGTACATAATTTGAAGGTTACGTTCAGTCCCCAAAACATGGAGAAATTGAAAAGTATCGTCGAGAGTGAATTCTTGTGATCGGACGGGAAATGCAAGATAAATTATTATGTGATCTTTGATCGCACACCACGCATTTTTGATCGTTGAAATAGAATTTCAGCATACAGGTGCACGTCACCGCGTCTTATCTCTTTCAGACACATCAGGTTAGGTTAGGTTAGGTTGCAGAATAGCTATTTGACAGATGGCGTTCAATCCTCTGACGATGATGCAAGAATGAAGACGCGGCTCCATCCGAAAACGAGTGAATGGGATACGCATAACAAAAAACTGCTTACGTATAAGCTCAGCCGTTGATTAAGCTGGCCACATTTCCGTAACAGTAAAGCCTGATCTACAATAGATGAAGTAAGGAATTGGAGTAGGAGTAAGACGAAATAAAAATAATTTATTTCGCTTACTCCCTTACTCCAGCTCTTACTACTTAAAGCTGCGTTCGGAAACGTCACTCGAGTACTCTTCCTCTCTTTTTATCTCACTCTTGTATCTCGCTCACTCCAACGTAACGGGTATACTTGGCGTTTCTAAACGCAGCCTAGTTCAGGCTACTCCACCTGATGTAGACGGGCAAACTTTTATTGGAGTAAAGGAGTAAGCAAAATAAATTATTTCCATTTCGTCTTAAGTAGGGAACACACATTCTTGCATAAAGACATAGGCCCATATTCTGAATCCTCTTTTATCGATAAATGTGCCTTAAATGTAGCTTCTCAGCCAATCCTGGCTCCTAAGCCTCTTTTAGAGACACTTCCCTTATAGAAAAGTATCACTGGCTGTGATAAATTGGCCAGTAATAAATAGTAATTTTATTACTCGTACGAGTAATAAAATTATTGAACGACAGTAATTATCACTGGCCAAATTATTACTTATCAGTATTACATTTCTATAAAGGTCCATAACCATAAACAAAATCGAGTCGTGATTGGTCGTGATATATATCACGACCAATCACGACTCGATTTTGTTTATGGTTATGGACCTTTATAGAAATGTAATACTGATAAGTAATAATTTGGCCAGTGATAATTACTGTCGTTCAATAATTTTATTACTCGTACGAGTAATAAAATTATTGAACGACAGTAATTATCACTGGCCAAATTATTACTTATCAGTATTACATTTCTATAAAGGTCCATAACCATAAACAAAATCGAGTCGTGATTGGTCGTGATATATATCACGACCAATCACGACTCGATTTTGTTTATGGTTATGGACCTTTATAGAAATGTAATACTGATAAGTAATAATTTGGCCAGTGATAATTACTGTCGTTCAATAATTTTATTACTCGTACGAGTAATAAAATTATTGAACGACAGTAATTATCACTGGCCAAATTATTACTTATCAGTATTACATTTCTATAAAGGTCCATAACCATAAACAAAATCGAGTCGTGATTGGTCGTGATATATATCACGACCAATCATGACTCGATTTTGTTTATAGTTACGGATACGGATATGTTACAAACCATTGGACCCGCACCTTTAATTGATCTAGGTTTATGCGTCGTCTACAATGACAGTAGGAGTAGTACTAAGAAATGAGCACTAAGCAAATTGACCAATTCCATTTTCACGATTCAAGAAAAGTCGATTGTGATTGGTCCATTTACTTACTGCTTATTTATTACTACTACTCCTACTGCCATTGTAGACGACGCAATAGGGATCTAACAGTAAGAACCAATAATCGTGGATTGCTCACTGGGCGTTTTTCCGCTGAACGCGCCCAATGACGCTAATAGCGCGTGAACGCCCAAAAGGAACGCAGCCATACAGTTCTCTTTCCAATATAGTTCTTGGTCCATGACCTGAAAAAAGACGACGCCGTTCGATTCGAAGTCACCGACTGAACAAAGAATCGAAAGCTTCAAAACGAAAAGGAGAACGAAACGTTAGGATACGAGAAAATAATCGATGTGCGTAATTAACATTAACATCGGTTATTCAGCTGAATCGCGAACAAGAATGTAATATGCGAATAATGTAATGCGTAATCGACAAAAAAAGTTAGCACGTCAGACCTCGCTATCGATATCCATTGTCACGTTGATATCGATAGTCGCGCTAGCCGCGTCGCGCTACTCCTGAAGGAGAAGTAGCAAGTAGTCGATGACAACGATGACGCTGTGTCCGATCGTGCGATCGCAAAATATAACCTCTCTCTTCGCATAAGATGCTACTACTCTTATCAGTGTATCCGGAGGCAACGCTATTTCGAGAAACTTGATCTACGTCTGATCGTGCTCCTCCTTCTTATAATCACAACGTTGCCCAACGTCGTCAGCACGACCACAATTTGCCGCATCATGAAAGTGATCGTGAAGAAGCTGCAGGGAAAAGAATGCGTTGTTGACGTGAGTTTTTGGGGCGCCTTTGTTACTTATGTGTTTCTTTCCTTGAAAATTCTCGTTAATCTTTTGTGACCTAGATTTTTTCACCGTAATATATTATTTATGGCATTAGATTAACATCCTCACTGAATAGTTTTGCAGTTAATTTTTCAGTTAATTGGCAGCACGTAAAAAGTCTCCTTAGATCACGAGGCTTTTAAGTAACTCATATATCTCAAAATATCATTTTTCCAACTTTAATAATCGCATTTTTTATTTTCAAATCATAGGCTATTTTTGTACTTCTGAGAATTTCCTTATAATACGATTGATACTTGTGTCTTCTATTACTAAACAGTTTTTTGTATAGCATACATATAAATATGTATTATATGACAAATATGTGTTTGTAATTTTAGATATTGCCAACAGAAACAGTATTGGAATTAAAACACAAAGTAAGTGATCTGTTAGGCATTGATGTTCCCCACCAAAGATTGTTACTCACTGGTAAAACTTTGGCTGGTAAGTACATTTATTTATAAAGTTATTTAACATTATATATCTCAATATGTATCTTGGTACAAATGTTTATTTAATTTATAGGATAACCTATTAATATATAATAGTTCTTGTATATAAGTACAAGTTATACCACAACAGTTTTTTTATAAAACTAGTAAATTTGATTATTAAACCATTAAAAAAGTCAATAGAATGACAATATAAATTCACTTTAATGTAGATGCGATATTAATTGGATCGCTATGCCCAGTATCGTACTTATATAAGAGTATGTGAAATAATATAGCTTTCCTTAAAGATATAGGTGGTGTACAAAGCAATTCTTTCTAATAAACAGTGGCAACTCCAGTGTATATTAATTAATTTAAATTATTTTTTTTGTAAGATTTTTATTGTAAAAATTTTATTTCTTTTTATAATATATATTTTATGTGATATGCAGATGAGAATCCGTTAAGCTTCTACCCAGGAATCAAAGATGGCAGTAAATTAAACTTATTGGTGATCAAGAAAACAGAAGAAGGTTCCAGTGAGACAAAATCTTTCCAACAAAAGTCGGGCACTCAGTTACTCAGAGATGAAGTATCCCGAGTATTGAGGCATTACTACACGGTATCCGAGACAGAATCCATAGTCAATGAGCTGATAAAGGACCTGAAAAACAAAGTGAATAATCTTAGTTACGATGATTTAGAGAGATTAGCTACGGCGTTACTTCAGGACCAAGAGAACATAGCTTAAGTACCATCTTGGATTATCTAATTCCGCTTTATTGATCGATCATTGTAAGATGAGTTTATTTAATTGAGGCGTCGCTTTGTATATTACGCTCTGCCGCTCTTACAATTGGCAGTGTGTTTAAAATCACGCAAGTATAATGACCGAACGTTCAAGGAATCGAACGTACACGTTGGAAATTTCCGATTAAAACGTATCACTGTGTTCGTTTATTAAAATCATTATACACGTACACACAATTAAGATATAATTATCGTGTCACGTGTCCACGTACGTGACTAGTCGAATGTACAGTCGGGATTTGTCAAGGATCTGCTAGATCCAATTGACGGAAGTATCTCGCTACCAGACAGATGAATAAATTCAGCGCCCCCAGTTCCTGCGCGTCCAACTCCCTCTGAAAAAACAAAAGTACGCGAACGGCGTGAATTCGACGCGAGAACTTTTGTAGATACGAGACAGATTAGCTTAGACATAGAAGAAAAGTTCAGTCCTTTATTTTCTCAGCCTTTTTGTAATCCGATGAGCGCGTTTTTATTATCATCCGAACTTTTATCTAACAATGGAGACGAGATTGCAACAACACCTGAGCAAATAGGAAATTATGCAATAAAAGCGTTTTGTTAATAGAAATTCAATGTTTTCCTCTTCTTTTCTTTACCCCATGCTGCTTTGCACTGGCGATATCGCGGAGAAGTCAAGTGAATAACGAAGACCATGAGAAATGGAACCAACTGAACTTTTCTTTGCAGTACATCAGTGCCTTGGAATTGAAAAGCAACAAAAATCAGACTGATATTAGTCGGTTCATTTCCAACGTATCGATGTACTGATCTGTTTGGATAGAGTAATAAATCTTACAGAATCGGCGCGGATGACGGAACATATTCGTGCCAATGAACGCAGACAAGAGCAGGTGTCAGGATTTAATGGTTGTTCTAACATCACAAGCAACGTATAAATCCACTGGCCTATCTTGTAGTCGATTCTTCTCTCTGTCTCTACGTAATGCACGAAATATTCAAGTACTTGTTCTACAGTCGGTTGGTTCAAGCAAAACAAGATGTTCAGTGTTGGCTCGACCTTCTTTTCATTAGTACATCCAAAACATAAGCTGATCCAACTACTCTCATCATCTATATCTGGCTGCAACATTAAACAAGTGGAAGAGAGAAAATAAGAGAATTAGTCGAATGAAAAAAAATATTTTTATATCTCTTTAAACTATATTTCTCTCTCATAGCTATATAAGAGCTACAGCACATATGTTTTATATCCTTTAGAAATGTTTTTGCTTAATTTCACAATTCAAAAAGCTTTATATAATATTGTAAAATATGTATGTACCAGATCGATATTAGGTTGTTTCCATTTGCGTTTATAAGTTTGTATTTCATCTCTCAGTTGGCTCACATATAGTCTCATGTCAGAGAAGTCTGAAACTTGATATTTTTGCCATTCCAAGGTTGGACTAAGTTTGGGTGGTGCTTGGACACATCCTGCTAACTTTTACAATTATATTAATATTATGATATTTTTTTAATCACCAGATTAATTTTCAGAATGCATAATATGTAGAAATCAACTTACAGGTTCAATATAACCTTTTGTAGGTTGTTTCATGCATGATGGGTCTATATTAGCCACCACTACATCATCGCACTGTTGGGCTTCTATTCTGTGATACCAATATAATTTTTCAATCAACTAATTGTTTATTAGCAGTAAGAGCTTTGTTTCTTCATCAGCAAAATTTTAACAAAGTAAACATGTACTTACGTTTACATAAGAGAAAAGAAAATAGAATATAAACGATAAAAGTAAAACAGTTTGAAAATTCCCTCTTTCTAATCATATTTTCTCATGTTATATTTACATTTTTTACTGTTGATACTTACACTACTCGCTTGATATACTCTTCTCCAGAAGTAGGTGGCAATGAATGGTTAATATTTTCATTGACATCTCCAACTATAAACACTCGTTGTTTCAGACAATCCATCATGATAATCGAGTGCTTTCACTTTTTAGTCAGGAACTTTTCTACTTTCGAGTCTTGTCGAGTTTAAAAATTCCAATTTGAGGTTAGCTCTATGTCACTGTAAACATGTGCACACATGTGCATCGTATTTACAGTGATGTAGTTGATTGCAGCACAATTCCGGAAGTAGATGGTATTTACCAACAGCTGCTCTGATTGGTTGCACCACACTGAGACGACTATCTCCTTCCCTCACGTGAAAGAAGATCGATACAAGCAGATCGAAGAAAGAGAGAAATACTAGAACTCGTCAGAACTATCCATCGAAAAACTACTGATTCATCATGGTTGAGAAAACGAAATTTATGAATGATACATTTGATAGAAGTTTTAGAATCAACAAGGGCTAATTTTCTATGGGAGAATATCCGAGAATAAATGGAATAGCAAATAAGTAGAATAGAACATATCGGTGTTGCGCCGTTGTGTACAGTATCACTGCGCCATTTTACGTTTCGCTCAGATTTAAACTCTTCCACGCAGAACGAATTCGCACTTTAAGGTTAACCTTTGTCACAATTGTGGCAAATTTCTTAGATTCCACGGTGAAAGACGGAGAATACATTGAATCTCAGCAATGAGTGAAGACACGGATCGATTGAGTAAATGCCTGAAACATTCGCTGAAAACAATGCGATATGCAATACATCCGAAATCGAATGTAAGACAGTGCTTATGCACCTTGAAGTAACGATACTCCTGGTCCAACTATTCAAGAATCTAAGCGTGCTGGTTATCAGAATATTCGTTTAAACATGTGATTTAATAAAGCACCTTTTTTTTTACTTTATCCTTCATTCACAAGATGCATACAAATGTTGACAGGTGCTGGAATGCCGCGTTTGTGAAGAGGTCTTCACGGTGGACGGTGTGAAAGTACCTCGCCTGTTACACTGTGGTCACACGGTATGCCACACTTGCCTGTTGCGACTGAGAACATGCAGGTCAGACCAGCAATTCCTCCTGTGTCCCTTCGACAGACAGCCTACTGTGATTTGTGAGAACAGCGTATACAGTTTGAAAAAGAACTTTGCTCTCATTGAATTGCTTGAGAGGCTTGAGCAATCTGACAGTGAGAAGACTTTGGTGCTGGAACGCGAGAGGCTTCAGTCTAATCAGTCATGCGATGAGGACGAGACACATACTGCAGTTCTATATTGCACAGTCTGTGCCACGCATCTCTGCGAAGCATGTGATATAGCCACACATTCATCTAAGACTTTAGGCAAGCACAGACGTGTGCCACTGTCAGAAAAGCCACGTGAGAAGCCCCGATGTCCAATACATACTGCACATGTTGCAGAGTTTACATGCACCCAAGAAGGCTGTGACAACTCCTTGATGTGTCACCTGTGTAAAGAGTACGGCAAACACAGCACGCACAAGGTAACATCTACAGTTTGGTACCGTCTGTGCCGTCGGTACGTCGCCAATATCGTTGCCTATGCTTTGCATTGTAGCTAGCATTGGTGGAGGAAGAAGCTGAAAACATCAGGAAGTCCATTATCGCAGCATTGCAGAAGATGACAAAGTTTATGGAAAGCATGAGGGACACTGCACAAAGAATAGGTACTGCTCTTACTTTGAAATCTCTCAAGTATTAACAATTATTATTTGAAATACGTCGCTCAAGTGAGACATTCAGACTTGAATTTAGAGTTAGATGAGAGTCAATTTTATCAATTAAATTTCAATTATAGATATAAATAGCTGCATTCAGTAGAGAAAGCTGCTTCAAAATTGTTGTAAAAAATTTGTGAATCTAATCAGCATGTGCTCTCAGATTCAAGATTAAGAGCATACTATTCTGATTCATGAATGTTACAACAGTCACGCAGTAACTTTCTCTGCTGAACGCAGTCAATATCATATCCAATATCATAATTTAATTGAAAGACTGACTTAATTCTGAATAAAAATCTGAGTATGTTACATAAGACAATTTCAGGTAACAACTATTAATACGGGTGTCATGATGTAAAGTAAAACTCTTTAGTACTTAACACATCTTGAATTTTATTAAATATTAAGATGCATGAGGATTTAATTACTTATCAACGATTTTTTAAATCACCATATATACATCTTAATATTTAATATTTTGTAATATCCACGCAAAAGTTGAAAAGAGCTAGACCGCCAGTTATTGAACGTTTTAACCAATTTCTTTTTTGAGTTGAATTGACTGAAAATTTCTTTTTCGCGTATATTTCAGAAACGGTAGTCGAAGAATTGGAGGGCTGGGCGATAGAAGATGCGAGAAAAAGAGTATGGTATCATTTTGAGAAATTACGCGCCGATTTAGATGAACAGGAAACGACTGCGATGGCGTATATCGAGACGGAGACTCGCGGCAGACTGTGTGCATTGAGACAGCAACAGAAGGATCTCACTACCACGAGATCACAAGTGGCTAGCGTATGCATTCAGTGCGAGAGTATACTTGATTCCGAGGACTGGAAGTTACTCAACAGCTCGGAGAAGGTCAAGGAAGTGTTGGCGACTTTGGAGCAACAGCAGCAGCATTATGCACAACTGGGCCCTGATTTTCTTAGTCCCGAATCTTCTATACCCATCATTATCAGCAGAGTTCGTAAAAATTCTTTGTGATCAATTGTATAGGATAAACTATGTAACTCACCTCCCGATCGTTCCTGGAACATGATTTGTATTTTGTTTCAAACTGTTTATAATAGGACAACAGAATACACATCGGAACAAAAATCGATATGCGCGTGGTGATCTTGGGGCTAGACGGAGCGGGGAAAACGAGCATCTTATCCGCGATGAGAGGTGTTACACTATCGAGCCCACCGATCCCTACTATTGGCTTCAATGTCGAGAGCTTGGAGTATCAAAATCTCGTGTTTACTCTTTGGGACGTTAGTGGGCAACAGAAGTTCAGACCGTTGTGGAAACACTATTACCACAACACACAAGCCGTTATTTTCGTAGTCGACGCTACTGACAGATCTCGTTTTGAAGAGGCGCAGGACGAATTATCTAAGATACTTTACCAACGAGAGCTGAAGGATGCTCTACTTTTAATCTATGCCAATAAACAGGTAAACGTGATGTTATTGACGTTTATATTGCGATAAAATTTAAGAAAATTACTTTTCGAAATAACTCGTCACTTTACAATTTCTGTTATTCTTCTCTCTCTTATCAAAATCTGTGAAGATTGAATACTTTTTCTTCGACGTATTTCGGAACACAGCCGATGTCCATCGGAAATTTTTTTTGAGCTATTCTCATAAGATACGTTTTTTAATTAGGAAAAGCGAAGCGTTTCGAAATGTGTCAAAAATAAATTTATATATAATACTTTAATTAGGCCGATAGTCGGTTATAGTTTTATGTTTAAAACCATTTTAAATATAATTCACTTTCAAATGTACTTTGTAGTCTCAACGAAATGATCCATATAGCATCTGAAGATAAACTTAAGATGATCTTAAATATAAAATCCAACTGTGAATACCGGCTTTACATTCATTTTATATATAATAAATATTTTTCAGGATATCCCAGGTTGTGCAAGCGTCGAAGAACTCACTGATATTCTGGGCTTACACAAACATTGTTGCGCGAGGGCTTGGCATATACAAGGCTCCTCGTTGGTTACCAATGCTAGTGGTATATTGCAAGGGCTCGATTGGCTCTCGCAACAACTCAGTGCTCACTTGTCCGAATATTTATAGAGTGTTTTTCCTTTTTTTATATAAAGCTTAGAAGCTATTTATGTGCGGATATCAAGTTGAAAAGAAAAGACACGTTTCGCTACTTAGCACGGGTTTTATGCAAAGTAAGACGAAGCAGACTGATGAAATTAGGTAGTTAGAAGTCACACAAGTACAGTAGACAAGCATTATAGCCTTAATACATTAAGCTACAACTCACAAGTGTAACTTATAAGTTACAATTTTTTAATTTCTTCCTTCTGAATGTATGCGTTTTAAATTGAGAACTTTAAAAACCTTCAGAAAGGAGTAATTATAAGTTGTAACGATGTCTCTCATAAGCCAAAGCCAACAACGCAGATCTCATCTGACTTGCATATATTCAAATTGGGTACTTATTTGGGGCTAACCCTGGATAATTAAACATTTGGGGATTGTGATTTAAGATTCTTTGTAGTTCGGGTAATTTCTTTTATTTTCCATTCACTTTGAAAGGAAATTATATAATTTTAGAAGCGAGTAGACTTTTAAATATATATACCACAATATGTTAATTGAAATTTGTCATATATTTGCCGTGAGACAAAAAGAAGATAAATATTACAAAGACGTTTTAATAAAAAAAATATTGCCGATCATAGGCGCTTCCCATTCGTTGTCCATCCTACTCCTATCATCAGTTAGTAGTTTCGGAATTACCGATAGTGGATTTATCATTTCAATCTTCAGGCTTGTTCTGAAACGAGTTTATAATCATCTTTTCTGATAGGAAGTTTCAGTCCTTTTCTAAGTCCTATGACACTTTTATATCGATAAGAACATACAAAAGAATGCTTTCGTTGAGAGATCGCAGATAATGTAAACGCGTACATTTTATAACTTCATGTATTAAGGCTATCATGCTGGTCTTTGTGTAGAGAGAGTACGTTGATATTTTTTCTCATATCTATAAATTAAAACTTACATTTCTTTATTCGCTTTGTGAACGTGTGAAATCTTAAAGTAAATTTACGAATTTACTGCATCGCGTGTATTTGATCGTCACGTTGGCGCGAGGTAAAATTAAAACATTGAGACATATTACGCCAAAGAGAGAAATACATTGTATCGTGAAACAGTTACTATTCGAGAAGAAAAAGGACTTCGGTTTATTTTCCGATATAAAAACGTAGTTACAAGACGGACCATATTCGAACGCGATACAATAATAGCGTAAATTCGCATATATATACATATATAATCGATTGGAAGCGATCTGCACAATCAAATCAAATGCTAGAACTACAAATAGCAAAAAATGGGTCATTAATGGATTAGATTTCGCTCTCAAAAATTATGCAAACGCCTGGGCACATCTAGAAAAGTCTTATTTATTTTATAATATGGTTATTGGTTGTCTCTGATACATGCTCATACCAATTTTTATCATTCAGTCACTTATGCACACATCCATCATTCTTACGTTTTCTCTTTTTTTTTAACTGGAGCGACTTTTTAGTATGCGTACATTGTACGGAGAGAGGTTGAAATAATATATAATATAATAATAATATATATATAATATAGCATTGTGTGTTAAATTACAATTTTCAATTACTTTTTAATGTATATAAAACACTTGACAAACAAAAACGGAACAACTTAGAGTCTTTTGTGGAGCTGCGCCGATGGTGGACACAGGCTAGACGACTCCCTTATTCTTTTTCTATGTCTCTCCTTTATCTTCTATATTTTTCTTTGTTCTTCCGTATCCCGGCATACCTTGGGTACCTCTCGCGGAAGTATCGATCGCTTGGTCTAAGGCGCATATTAAAATAATCTCGGAAACTTTAGGAATAATTTGCACTAAAATGGAGAATATGTGTTGGACGACTAGGGTAAAAACGTTTTTTAGGCGCCACGATACCAAGGCCAAGCCGCTACGGAAAACCGTGGAGAGAACCGGGCGAGACTTTGCTTCAAGCTTAAACAGAACTCGACGCGATGTCCTCGTAATACGCGAGTGTTAACGATGGACGACGTGATCGAGGAGTTGTTATTTTCTGCTTATTGCGTGTCTTTTAGATTGCGATTTTGTGCCTGTGGGAGGATGATAGTGCGTGTCGCGGCCACGTAGCTCCTGGAATACAGTCTGTATTTGTGTCCACACGCGCGACACCCATATTTACAATTCGTCATGCTCCTGTAGAAAGAGAAAGAATGTTAGTATCGTTGTTCCTCGCACGACGAAAGCAGTATATTTAAAAAGTATGTGTTCAGAAAGGAAAAATTCCAATGTTATTTCGATCACAATAAATATCAGAAAGAGTGAGTTCATAACGAGCATCATGCACTGGTGTGTTTTCACGAAATTGTATTAAGAATATATTTACTTAGATATAGAAACAACACTTACTTCAGTATCTGGCTGGGTGTTGTCTTCTTCATCCTGATCTTCATCATCTTCATCATCCTTACTGTCTTCGCTCTCCTTCGCCTCCTTGTCTCTCTGTTTCCTCTCCTCTTCATCCTGCGCTTCCTTCATTTTCTTCTCACCCTCCTGCAATTTCCAGAATAAAGTTAATATATTTTCTACACATGTAAATCTAATATAGTATCTCGTCAAATCAATCAGTAACGAGGAATTCCAGCTATTTATCGTTCATAGACATCAGAAGCGCTTGTAACATCATATGAATAATATCGATAATCAAATAGGTGAATAAAAAAGAATGAGTAAAAGTTGAACACTTACAAAGGTAGGCTTCCACACATCCTCTCCGAATTTATGTGCAACTTCCGGATCATCGGTAACAAGCACGTTATCAAAGATAGTGCCAGATTTAACTTGCCACAGATCAAAGCCGACAGCGCAGATTTCGTCGCGCTTATACAGATCCGGATCGGGCACGTATTCGGGGTTAGGAATTTGCGGGTGTACCCATGGTCCCTTATAGTTTGGATTGCTAATTTGTTTCGCTTTCCATTCACCCTGTAAAATACATAATTTTAGAAACGATTAGACTTTTAAATACATTTATTATGTTAATTGAAATTCGTCATGTTTATGTTAAGATAAAGAGAAGAATGTTACAAAGTTAAGTTGCAACAAAGGATCAGCTAGATAAAAACATGTCAATATTATCAATCAATTCGAACCTTGTAGTCAGGATTGTCGATCATGGGTGCTTCCCATTCGCCGTCCATCTCATCGTCCCAATCATCAGGCTTACTGGCTTCAGGGTCAGGAATGTGCTCGGGCTTGTCCCAGTCCTCAGGTTTCTTATCCTCAGGATCATCGATAGTGGGCTTGTCATCCCAATCTTCAGGTTTGCTCTGAGACGGGTCTGTGATCATCTTTGCTGGCAGGAAATTCCAGTCTTTTTCCAAGTCACCAGATGATACTTCTTCGTTATCGATAAGAACCTGAAGAAGAGTGCTTTCATGGAAAAATTGCCGAAAACAAAATCTTTCGACATAACAATGTCATTATTAACGTAGTTGATATGTCGATCTTTGTTCTATGCGTACAGTGAGATTTATTGCTCGAGTACAATGAAGGAACAAGATAATCTTTGCTTTTCGAGGTCCTCTAGCACTCGCTCTCCATGGCAAATAGTGAGAGCAAGTGACTCTAGGCTCGATATCGTGACACCAATCGTCCAAATTACGATAAAATATTATATCTAAAAAATATTATATTTATAGAAAACATTTTATCTAATATTCACCTGGTACGTATTATCAGGCTTAACAATCAAAGTGTACAAATGCGTGTAAACATCGTCCTTGCAACGAATCTCCTTATTGATGAGTAGATTTTTGCCCTTGTAACTGAAGATTACATGAACCTTCTTGGTGCCCGGTCCACAAATATCAGGTCCTATGTAAAAGTAGATATTGCATAGTTATAAGTAATGTTTAATTTACATCTTTAAAATGCGAATCATCTCGATGTTGTGTAAATTTTAATTTCTAGACACACGCGTTGTTGGCTTTGTAGAAAACATACAAAATCATATGAATTTTTCCTGTATTAATTATTTATCATAATGAATGTATCTTATCAGGTGCCTGCAATATGTATAATTAGCATATGCAGGGCATATGAAAGAATATTACTCTCCGAGATCCTCTAGCACTTACCATACATTGGCATGGTCAGTGACTCTAGGCTCGGTTTACTTAAACATTAGGTTTCATTAGCATAGTTCTGATAAGCACTCACCGAACATAATTTGGTATGGACTCTCGCCATGCATATCTTTTTGATCAAGTGAGCAGTCGAACACCTTGATATATCCACCACCGCAGTCGATGTTTTGTTCATGCTTAACGGTGAATTGAATAACGAGAGTTTTGTCTTTATTGCTAAATGGAGAGAATTTTTTACTAAGAGCATAGAACCTGGCATCTTGTGACGTTTGGATACCTGAAGAAAAGAAGATATTGTACATTGCTTGTTACGTGAGTAAATTTGATATTTCGTTGATATAGATTTTCTTTGCATTTCTCAAGTACCTTTGTCATTTTCTGGATCGTTCCAGAATTTTCCATAACTTAAAACGAATTTTCCAAATTCCTTCCCAGGGTGCTCTGAATAGACCCAGTTCTTCTCCCATGAATCTGAAATGTTAACAGTTCCTTCCTTACAATTTTATTCTTTTATTTCACTTCTTTAATGTCTGAAATTATATTTTGTTTTGCAAGGAAAGTTTGAGTAGTGCAGCTATAAGTAACAGAATTTGTTGCCATTTTTAAGTGAAATAATAGATATAATCAACAAGATATTACAGATATGAAATGATCTTATCATATAGATGTAAGTACATAAAAATATCATTCTACTACTAAGTGATTACTCAGTAATTTTATTTTCTTTCTTTTAAGTAACAGTTTTTTTTCAACAAAAAAGAATATTTTTTAATAATTGTCCTAAAATATATCCATGCCAAGTTTTAGAATTCTTTATTATGATGCACTTAAAAGAAGAATTTATTCTCTTTACAAGGATATCATAAAATTTTATAAAGAAATAATTGATTCAATGCAGTAAGCAAATAAAATTTTTATTTTAATATTCTTAATTGAAATGCTAAATCAGAATGTGATTCAGAATGTGTATTTTGAACGAATTTAATGCTTATGATGAGCTCATGATATATTTGTGAATAAATTTATGAAATATTTAAAACATATAACATTTATTTGCAGTATTTTCTTATGTAGAAAAAAATGAAAATGTAGAGAAACATGTTGAAAGTACAATGTATGTGGATTTATAAGACTTATATTTGGACACAGTTTTGAAACTTAAATTCAATAAGATAACACCCATCCACATTTATAATCTGATCTTTTCAGCCATATTACATTACTTTTTCCATGCTCAAAAATAAAATAGATATATGCCCGCCCAGGCACAGAAGATGAGACAAGATGAAGCGAGAAAATCGAGAGAAAACGCAGCAAGCACGATTATAAAAAGAACAGTCTGTTGAACTTTTCGCACATTGCGCATTGTGAAGTGGGATAGCCATGACGCGTGGCTCGAGCATACAATGAAAAGCCACGAAGGCAACAGGAAATTGCAAAAATACTCGACGCCGAGGGCGCGAACTCGTTTTCTCGAGCCGGGTCCGAATTGTACGAACTCGTCGCGTCGTTTACCGCTAGCCGTGCCGAGCTGAGTCGAGCGCACACAGATCGACGAATCGATCTGGCGGCGTCATGTCGGCGCGGCGAGATGCCGCGCGGCGATTGCCACGAGAGACGACTTCCGACTGCGTGTCGCAGTCTCTCGATGCTTCTTTCTCTCTTTCTCTCCTTTACTCCAGCGCGCCGATAGTAACGCATATGGCCGATATGCCGTTTAAAGCGAGATATGATATACGCCCGCCGAGGGACCGGCGACGTTGCTCTTCTTCTTGCCGCTGCGAGTCCCTTACGAGTACATACAGACCGCAATCTAAAGTCCAGCAATAATCCTGAGTTATCCTCCACATTGCGCATCGGCTCTCGTTGAAGGAGAAAGAGAGAAAGATAGGCAGGTGAGACAGACTTCGATGTAGAGTCAGAACGACGAGATGGAGAGCAAGTCGGTGGAGTGCAAGGGCGGTTATCAAGGATAGGCCGTCGGTGCATCCTCGTCCCTCCTGCGACACGTCTAACGTGCACGATCGAGATTTTCTCCCGTTTCGATCAACCCGCATTGTCTTTTCGATCGGAAGGGACCGATGCCGCGGCGAAGGAACGAACGAGCGGGGTGTGGTTCTCCGTGAGAAGAAAGCACAGGATTCATACGGGTCCGTCTTGGACTTGATTTTGGAGCATGCTTCGTGGTAGAAAGGAGGAAGGAAGCCGAGTCGAGTCGCAAGATATCGCACGGCCGGTTGCTGGGCCGGGTTGCTTGCTTGCTTGCTTGTTCCGCGTCGCGTCAGGTTTTCTGGCTCGCGGACGAGTTCACTTACCGTCGATGAACTTCTCGTCCAGGTAGACCTCCGCGCTGGCCACGGCGACCGTCAGGAGCACGATGAACGCGCTGGAGGACCGCATTTTTGGACGCCGGGAAACGACGAGAGTCCGAGAAGAAAACTACTAACAATCTGCTGCCGCCACGACGAACTGGCCGCTAATGCCCGAACGGCAACCGTGGTTGGTGAGTTTAGCGGCCCGTCAGGGTAGACAGATGGAGAGCGCTGATTGGCGGAGGCGCGCCGACCAATCGCCACCGACCACGCTTTACCAACGAAGCGCTGCGCCGCGCCGTGGCACCGTCGCGGCCATGCCGCGCTGCACATAACCTCACGTCATCTTGTTCATTATCGCGGTCGCTTATCAGTCGTCGATACGACAGTACTTGGTTGACGAGTGGAAGCCGAAGACTGTCGTAGCCGGTCGGGGACACCCGAAGCTGTGGAAGCCTCTGATTGGTGCCGACGCAATTGTCATTATGAGTGTCTCGGTTTGAACTCGCGTTTTCGTACTCTTGCGGCAATCGCGAGATTCATCTGAATTTTCACGGATTGAAATATTTACGATCCCGGCTCGAGAATTAATGGTGGCGGTACGAGGTATTCGAACTTTATCTGATACTTTTATTAGTCACTCTCTGAGAGAGATGTTTGACAGTAAGCGCATTAATCACAATGGCGATTATTTTCAAGTAGATACAATTAACCTCTACTGAACGAAGTTGAGAAGTTATAATGCAACGAGTAAAAGCCAAAATATCCTTCAAAGCGGATTGGAGATTAAAGATGGAAAAAAATAAACAGATAAGAAATAAGAGATTGCGAGATTTATTTGTTCATTTACACTTTTTAAATGTTCTTTATATGTGTTCTTTATATGTGTTCTTTATATGTGTTCTTTATATGTGTTGTTCTGACTAAAGATTTAATTCAGATAGAGATTAAACCAGATAGAGATAAAAAGAAAGAAACAGGAAATAAATATCATATTGAAGATTAGACTTTATTCTCGGTATTTCGATGTCGGAATAATTGTACTTTCAACTACAGTTACTAATGTCTCTAGAGAAATCATCATTATAGACTATTTTATCTCAATATTTCAAGGCTTTTGGCTACCTAACGGCGCGGTAGACTTTGCTTGCGTGCATGATTACGCTGAAATCACGATGAATTGTCTATAAATTCCTCTTGCATTTCACTCTTAATGGTACTAACGATTTGCGATGGATATCAATATCAAGCGCGATAATGCCATATACGTACGTGCCGGCAGTTTCCGTGGCAACGAGAAAGCAAACTCGTCATGGCGAAAACGAACGAAACGACCCAACGTGACTCACTTCAAAACAGGACCGCCGCACCTCATCAGTTCATTGATAATTAAAATTTACAAGTGGTACGACGCGTGTCAAGTGAAGAGGCGCTGAATTGGATAATCAAGACTAGGAAGAAAAGGAAGAAAATATGCTTTCCTCGAAGGCGAACGCAGCGTTGACGCGGGTGAAGGAAATTGAAGAGAAATATAAAATGAAACGCAGAGAACAGAGATGGAACCGCACAGAAGTGAGTATTCCTAAAAATAAGACAATATGTCTGCGCTCCTGAAATTCGACTCACCGTGATTTGTCACGTGATGTCGTCAATGTCAAGTTGATCATGCCAAATAACTGTCCCGGATGGTTCAACATTGAAATTCGAAAAATGCAAAATTTTTAACTAACCTCGAAAATCTTCCATTTTCTCGTTTTTTGTCTCTTTTTCTGTGTCTGGACATATATCTATTGTATTTTTGAGCATGAAAATAGTTTGATATAATATGGCTGAAAATAATAGATTATTTAAGGTGGCTGGGTGTTATCTTTTCACATGGATATTATCTTGTTGAATTTAAGTTTCAAAACTGAGCATACAAATATAAGCCCTATTACATACATTATACTTTCAGCATACTTCTCTACATTTTTTCCTACATATAGGAAAATAGTAGATCTAAGTAAATGTTATATATTTTAAGTATTTCATAAGTTTATATATTTACAAATGTTTTACAATATATGATATTTATATTTTTAAATAATCAGTAGTTACATTTCACAGAGAAAGCTATGCTTTGCAACTGCTCTAAAATTCATGAATCCAAATAGAGTAAGTGAACCTATTTCGGAATAGCACCTATTTTGAAACACTTTAATTTTTTTCCTGTATTAGCTGTCAAATAATATCAAATTTTCATGTTCAATGTCATTTTCATGTAACAAAGAACATGTTCTTTGTTACTAACATAAAAATTTGATATTATTTGATAGCTAATACAGGAAAAAAATTAAAGTATTTTGAAATGGGTTGTTCTGAAATAGGTTCGCTTACTCTAATCCAAGATAACCAACCCAAAATTATCCAGAATGGATCGAAGGATGTCCTGAGGAATGTTCTAGAAATATCTTAAGCATATTTAGGATGAGAGATCTCAAGTTGTCTTGTGTTATTTGGGTGATTGATATATGTTCCCATACAGCACAAGGTCTTCTGGAGACATCCCAGAGATGTCCTGAGGATGTAGAAACATCTCAAGAAAGTTCTCAGGATGTTCTCTGAATGTCTCCTGGATATCTGTGCTGTTAGGGTTCTTAATCTTGGCTGAACCTAAGAACATATCAATTAGATTGACGAATTTTACAACAATTGTAAAACAACATTCTCTGCTGAACATTGCCAACATTAAATCTTTTAACTTTTAACTTTAATTAAATAACTGTTCTTGTTTTAATTAATCTTGCAAATCGAGTGTTTCATTCTGCAATATACGTCATTTGTATTCCTTAATAATTATATATAAATTTATATATATGTTTGTATATTATATTTACATGTTTTCATACATTCCAATGTTTCATCTTGCAATATGATATTTATATTTTTGAATAATTAATGTGAAATTTCGTCAAGTAACTGCATAGTTCAACATGAAAATTTAATTCAATAAATTCAATTAATAAGTTCACAATATTATAATTATATATGAATATATAGTTGCTTTGTGTATTGTATTTGTGTATGTTTTCATATATTCGTTTAATACATGTGTTATATTGCACAGAAGGTATTTCTGTTGATAAAATGGTGATTAAAAAAAAAGATCGGTGAAAAAACGATATCTGTACTGCGGCCAGAGATATTCGTCTGAACATTTGTGTGCGTTAAAAGCCTGTCGAAATAGTCGAGGACAATTGACTGAATAGAAATTCTTTACAGGAAAGATCCCTACAATCGAGTTTTTATCTTATTTTCATTAGATAACAGGAAAAGGTAAAGTAAAAATATCAATTCCCGGACATTCCTGGTATTTGAACATCTTATTTTGATATTTAAATACAAATGTTTGAACTTTCAACATAAAATATATGTATATAGAATAAATATATATATATATTTTTTATGTTGGAAGTTTAAATATTTTTGTACTTAAAAATCGAAATAAGAAAAATGTCCAGGATTAAGTACGTATCCAGGCATTAGTACTTTTACTTTACATAAACCGAGTTTTTTCCGTGTACAAAGGAAAGGAAAGAGACAGTAAACGAGACAATAAACAAATAACATTTATTGTCTTATTTAAGTTCGTGTTTGTAAGTGATAATGTTTGCAACACACGATGTTTTGCGTTTCTCGTAGGATACAGACAGCTCGATAAGCACCGTCTCGTTGAACCTATCGGAAAACTTGTCGAAGCAATTGAAGGAGTCGTCGGGGAACTCTCCGAAGCCTAAGCTTGACATAAAAATGCCAGATATGAGATTCGAAGGTCACGAAGAGAGCGCGAAACTTCCATTGCAGGATAAGCAATCTGACAGGATGAACCAAGCTGTCGACGAAGCCGACCTTGATGTCGCGATGCCGTCGGAAGATAAATCGTCGTCACGTTCTATACGAAAGCAAGAGAGTTTCGCTTCAGATATAATAACGATTCAGGAAAATAGCTCGATCGAAAGCGTGCTCGATGACTCGATGGTTTCGTCGAAATCACTTTCGCGCTCGAAAACATTGCAACGACGGTCCTCCACGGCTAATGAGGAATACTCGAGACACGAAGGAAGTATGAAAACTGGTCTAAAGTCCGAGAAAGAAAAGCAGTTTGATAAATTATCCGGCATATCGAGAGAAAAATCATCGTCTGCTAATTCATCAGTCGCAAAGCGATCAAAGATACTCGAGAAATCGAACAAAAACACCTCCAAGCCGCGTTCCTACCTGAAATCGGGAGAACATTCAATCGAAGAGAAAAAGGTCACTAAGGTACTGAGGAGAATGAGTTCTGGCCGAAGTTCAAGGAATTCTAATCATTCGGGGTCGTCGCGTGGCAACAGCGTTATCGATGAATCAATCGACACTTTGGAAGACGGCAGTGAAATTATCTCGGAATTTTCTCATATTGAGAAAAGCATCGCTGAAAAAACTGTAGATAGTTCTGCTAAGATAGTTTCCAGCAATTCCGGACGCTCGTCAGCCGAGAATGTTTCTGCGGACGTCTCAAGCAGGTTGAAACATCCGGCAGGCGAAAATGGATACGTGAACGACACTTTCGAAGACATTTCGAGCTCAACGGTGCGATCAAAATCGAGATCGCACAGCGAGAAAATTATGGATGGGAAGAAAAATGCAATCAGTCTAACGGTCAATCCCAATACGGACGACATAAAAATCAGTTTGAGCGAAGAGCCGTCAAATGATGTCGAAAACGTCGAGAATATTGACAGCAAGACAGGCAAGAAAGTTTCCCGGAGAAAGGGCTCCGTGGTGGTGATGACTTCAGCGAGCCGACAAGAAAGTGACCGGGAAGAGCGCGGGAAAGTGTTGGACGAAACGAGAGAACGTCTAATGATGGATGTCATCGGATTGCCGGTAACGACCGACGAGCGGAGCACAGAACAGACGAAGTCTGGTTCATCGAGGAAAAAGAGCGAACCGACGAAGTCTAGTTCGTCCAAGGAGAAAAGCGAACCGATGAAGTCTAGCTCGTCGAGGGAGAAAAGCAAACCAACAAAGTCTACTTCGTCGAGGAAGAAGATAGAGAGAAGTGGAGAGGATGAAAATGTCCTTGCAGAAAGTTCAGATCGACGGATTCCCCAAAACGTCACGAATGTGCTGAGAAAGATGCACAGAGATGCAGTCGACGCGATGGCCAGGCGACACGCAAACTTGAAAACAGTGGGGAAAGTATACGAAAGCTCTTATGAAAGGAGAACTGAGTCTGAGATCTTGGAGGCGACGTCGAGGCGGACAAAGAGAGAAGAAAGTCATCATAGCTCTTCGGAAGAAGATAAGATGGTAAATATTAATATTAATATTTGTCTGTTATAGTTTTTCCAAATACAAATACAATATCTCCAAATACAATTTTTTCTTTTACAAATAATATCGTCTTTTCAGACGGAGAACAATAATCGTGAACACAGCACTAAAAGGAAGAAGAGGAAAGCTAGGGTTACTTATTCAGAACCAGCCGAAACTCGTGATTGCGCCGGAAGTCATAAAGAATACAAGACTTTGAGATACGACAGGAAACAAATACGTGAACTACAGAAGCGGGTTGTTGAACTTAGACTGCAGCAAGAACGGGAAGACCTCCAAAAATACATACACGAACTGAAAGACTTAAGGTTAGGAGGATCGGGTTCTACTCCGAACTATTTCAGTCCCTTGGAATTTCCGAAGATCGCGGAATTTACACCGCCTGGTAAGTTCAAAGACAAAAGTACCACGCAAGATGCATCTCCTTGTCGATAATTAAACCGTCAATTATCACTGCTGCTTCTTATTAAGAGTGTCGAATATTATTCATTATAAATACCGATCTCTCTTATTACAAAACGACTTCTCTATTTTATTCCGTTTTCTCTTTTTGTTACTCTCGCGATTTATGTCACTGCATCGAATGCGCCCGAAGTCGTGCTGTACCGCGGCGAACGCGCGAACAATCGCGACTCTAGCAATGAATAGAAGGAATCCGCATTGTGCCGAAACAATGGGAACGTGGACCGACGGTGGAGCCAGTGATAGAGCCGTATGACGAGCGCATTAAGTACATCTCGTATTTGATTGGAGATACGCTTGGATGCGTTGCGTGTAAACGTATTCAAACATTCACCGTGAACAATTTCTCGTTTAATCACGCGTATGTAAGCGCAAACAGAAGAAATAAGTGCAATATTTTTTTCCAGATCCACTCGACTTCGAGTCGCAGCCGGACGATCAGCTCGCCGTGCTTCGAGCGAGAGTTTCGGCGATCAGGCGATGGTTGAAGGATCAATATATCTTGTATCGTGACTACTGCGCTGTGGCGCAAGCGATCAATGCCCGCTACGTTCCCACGACGTTGGAGGATACCAAAAAGGTTGGTCACTTTTCTTTCGCTCGTATTTCGATTGTTAGCTATCATTTGTTAAGCCTGAGTCGGTATAAGCGATTTTATTAATTGCACAACTCAGGCACTGCATTACTTCATGAACCGCTACATAATGCAAATTGCGTGTGTTATAAAGAACCTCATCATAACACGCACACATAGATAATGTATCAGAGGATTTTATTAAAGAGAAATCTCCCACGCTATTTTACTATCATGCGTTATATTGCCTCACGTCACGAATATCGATATTCATGCGCGGCGGAACATCCTGTGCACCTTAACGATGCAAGTAATTACGTATTCCCTGACGTAACGAAATCGGAAATAGCCGACACGATGACGTGTACGAGGAACCTACGTCACACTATTAGCACGGTATTTTTTGCGCGTCTTTGCGTAATACGGTTAAAGCAAAAAGGGTCGGAAGAGAAATTCTCTTTTACGAGGAAGTACCTAGGTGTGTACGTGTGTCGGCCGGCGTGTAAGTAGGCGAGAGAGCATGTTACGACGAGGACAATGGAGACGCAATAAGGAACCGAATAAGGAAACAAACGGTTAACAGCGCGCCCGCGTCCGCGAGGAAGTTTTTCGCTCGGACATGCTCACGAAAGTGTCTTTAAACGAGATACATCGTTTCTGCTTCCAGACGATACGCGAGCTGCGGGAAACTACGATTAAAATCAGATGACGCCGCAACACGTGAGATGATATTAGTACACGAACACGTCGAGGGTCTTCGTCGAAGTTGGCGATTTAGCTGCAGATTTGGCGGATACTTCGGAATTGTGAGTACCTAAAAATTGAAACTTATCTCATATTTTATACTTTGAGCTTTCTGATGTTAGAAATCGATGCTTTGCTTTTCGATTGATTAAGTGTGTGAAAAGTAAACGCGAACGAGTATGCGTTGAGACAGGATGTCCTTTGTTGAATTTACATATAATTTCGTGTCATATGTAAATCATTTGAAGAGCAAAACATCGTTGAATTTAAGAGTGGCGTAACGATCGACTAAAGAAAACAGCTGAAGAAAGGTTGGTGCGTGATATTATGTCGCATAACAGGGAGAATTACATAACGTAAGTTACATAATCATTGTCTTTTTTCCGATGTTGCCTGGTAGTTACTAGTTATGTATTGTATCAATCGGGAAATAAACGAACGTGTTAAAAAATCTGCAGATGTCATGTCTTTACTCGAAGATGCACGGAGAGAGAATTTTACAGTAAAAATATTATTACAGAATTTTGCAATCGATGAATAGATCGACATTCTATCGTGATTATTTGTATTTTAGGAACTGAAATATGTTATTAAGTAATTTGCTATATTTCTAACGAAATTTGATATATTTCTGGTGGAATTTACTATATTCCTTAGCAAGGTGAACCTACTGACAATTTTTCTCTGTAGACTACTAAACATAGCAAAAATAATTTATATGAAAAAGAACTGTAATATTTTCTCCGTGTAGAATTTTGTTTGTTTATAATTAATCCTTTTGCGCGATAGGATTCGTGTCAGTAGATAGTAGTTTTCATAATGAAATCGAAGCTGAGATTTCTCCTTTATGCAATTACTAAGTCGACTGTGCAACATATTCGCGTTTCCGGTGTATGCGCGAGTTGTGAAACTTTGTGAAAATCATTCGCTAACACCTACGCGAATTATAGAATGAAATGAAATTGTGGCACAAGGAAAAACAGATATTTAGAAGCACGTATCATACTTCGATTTACAATTCATTTATTTCATTCGCCTTGATTCGGTTCTCGATTAATATGTGTCGTGCCGATGAATTTTTAAATATTGCGCAGAAAAATGTCGGATTGGCGATCGATTGATTGCGCGATTCGACTGGCTATCTAACGCATCACATTTAACTTGCGTTGTAAAACATCCACTTTGAGTAAAACTCTTGACTGGAAGTCTATGGTTTACACATATTACAGATTTTTTTCAATAAAAATCTCACGAAAGGATGATATGTTGAAATGTAACCTTAGAATATAGAACATGAAGCTGATTTCGCGACGAAATTCACAATGAAATTCCCAAAGAATCGTTCCCAAAGATCGTATCTCGATCGAAACAATACACGAGGAAAAGAGGAACGTGGATCAACAATCTCGAGTTTCCAATCAAAGCAAACAAAGAGCGCACGATATCTGTATAACGGCAGGTGGACTGTCTTTGACCTCTGCCGCGTTATTGGGCAAGCTTCACGACGTTGCGTCCATGGACGTAGTATACATGAACCCCGCATACGGCCAGAAAAGTGAAGCCAACATGTAGAAAGAGACTATAGATAAAATATACATAGACTCCGCATACAATCAGAAAAGAGAAGCCAATATATACAGCCCCTCTGTTCTGTCTCTTTCTGCACAGACAAAGTGCAATAAGATTTAAGTAAGACGTTTACTTGCCAGTCTAAGAGTGCTGTTGCGCTCTATAATATTGTGGAAACGAGAAATGGATGCACGCGCGACAAAAAAGTGACAAAATAGGAAGAAAATTATAGCCCCTCTATTCTCGCTCTCTTTCTAAATGTTGGCTTCACTCTATTAGACGACAGAACATAGGGCATTCGGAGTTCATGTATACTATGTCCATGATCGCGTCACTAGTGTGGGTGATGCGCGAGGCGCCGCTCGTCGCGGGGCGGCGCGCGCAAGTGTACCGGCGCGCTTTCATTGACGCCCCGCGCGCCGTTCCTCTCGCGTAGTCTGGAACAGTCTCGAAGTAGCCTCGCGACTGTAAAGTACGTAACCGCGTTGCTCCGTACTCGAGAGAGAGAGAGAGAGAGAGAGAGAGAGAGAGAGAGAGAGAGAGAGAGAAAGAGGGGAGACTAAAGAGAGTGACAGAGAGAAAGAGAGATAGAGAAGGGGAGTTCGCCGGCATCGTCGATCCTGCGAAGCAGCTCCGGAGCCGCTTCCCTTCGCCGTTGTGTCACGTGCGGTCAGCTGCGGTCTTCCACGTGCGGGGTGCGATCCCGGTGTCTACTTGGTGGCCGCTGTGGAGGAGGGATTTGGCGGCCGAGCGAGCGGACGTCAGGAAGCGCCGGTGTTTCCGGTAAGTCGGCTCGTTTACGGTAATTTGGTGGGTGGATGAAAAGCGCGGAGGGTGAGTCGGGTCGAAGGAGTATACGGGGTGTTTCTCAATGAACGATAAACGCGATGGCATCCCTAGAAAAGCGCGAAACGATTCTATGTACGTCAAACTTGATTCGGTCGCCATATTCTCTTTCTCGTACCTGTTGAAGTTGGCGAGAGTTGAGATTGACTTGAAATCAGTCGAGAATCAAGGGTTATCGACAACTTCACCCTGATGTCTGACTTACCGGGAGATTCTCTCTTCTCGAATTGCTACTCTTAACTGAAGGATTACTTATTCGTTCGTATTAGTTCACGGGCAAGAGTCGAAGTGCTTAGAAGAAACGGAAGTTTTTGATTTAAGATTCTATTCACCCTCCAGTCCCATTCACCCGCCCGTAAATGTGTCGCTTTAAATAGTCGTGCGCAGGAGTCAAGTTAGTCCCATGATTGTAACTTTCTTTGCATAAGCTTTATAAAAGAGGATTTTACTAGTTATCGCGTCGAGATTATAACACAATGAAAATGAAAAGCAATGTGCATACTGAATACTGACTCGTATCTGTGCGAATGTTAGAATGCTAAAGAGCGCAGCTAATTAGCAACGTTGCATGCTGGCTGGTAAAATCCTCTTTCGATTGGCTCATAGTCAATAGATTTGACTGCACAAGTTTATTTAGAAAATTTTGTCAGTAGACATATTTGCTATTTAATTGATTAGTTAAGAGTTAATACTGTTTGATATATTCGAAGCTCCGATATAATTTGACTTTGACTTTTTATAATTTGAAATTGATGTTCGAAGCTTCGAATAATTTAATTTAAAGCATTGAATCTCTATTTGAAGATTTGAAATATCAAAGTTCTTAATAGAACAAATTTTGAAGAATGCAACAAGATACTGTATAATTAGCCACAGTTTAAATAGCTCTTTATTTTATGTATTTTTATCTTTAGTTTCAAAGTTTCGAGAATCTGAGTAATCGGATAGTCGAATATTCGATTATTCAAATGTTCGAATACCGTAAGATGGGGTTACTTTGTGACTGTAGGGGTTACTTTGTGACACAGTGAATATTGACCAATATTCACTGTGTCACAAAGTAACCCCTACAGTCACAAAGTAACCCCATCTTACGGTATTCGAATATCCACACAACTCTAAATTTCTCGAAGGCTGAAATTTCGAATAAAAATAAAATTTTTAGCCTTAGCTTGTTATCTCATTTAAGAAATTAGTCATTGAAGGAGTTTAATATAATCGACAGCTGGATAAACAGCTGCACGAATATGACAATCGCGTAGATTATCCCCGTGTTGAAATTTGATCTCACGTTATCTTTCTAAAGCGCGACGACCTCACGATTCTCCTGATTTTCTGACTCGCGTGTTTTCACGAAAACGTGGGCGTAGGCTCACAAAATCGGGGCGCTCTTGCTTAGAATGGTTGCGAAGCCTATTGTCAGGAAATCCTAAGGCTCCGACAGGCGGTAGATTATCCTTGGGCGAGCGCAAATCTAGGTCGATAATGCGCGAGATACATGTATCGATGCACGCGATTTGTCAACCGCTTCGGGCTTCGGAGAGCCTCGAGAGATCACGTGCATAGCACGCGTTTTCTAATATCTATTTCTACGGGGGCGACCCTAATGCGCGGCCTTTCTCCGATCACGAGACGATAGGAGCTCCCCCGAAGTCTGAATTGGATGATGGATTGCAAACGTAAAATGGCACATTCTGAATCGAGCAGTGGAATTCATTTTGGAACTGAATCACGCGTATATCCTATGTACAGAGAATCGTGAGACACTAAAACCGCTTCACACGAACATCTTGTCCACATTTCTTATTTATATTTTATGCACAAAAAAATACTTTTCGTGAAACTTTCCTTCGCGGCTCAAAGAGTTTAGAGGATGCGAACGTCCGCAGACTTTTTCCGGCTATCGCTGTTAAATTCACTCGCGCGTAACCTTTGACCCGAAAGAGCACATGCTTGACTGATCTCGATGGGCCTGTATTGTCGGCTTCCGAGGGTACCAAAAAAGGCCATTCGAGTGATTCGGTCTTTAAAAGCCGATAAATGAACACGTTGTGCAAAGTCCAAATTTAAAGTCCGCTCTAAAGCCAGTATTTGCAGTCTGTGGCATCGTTTGACAAGTAATCGCAATTTCATGAATCAGCACAAGTGTTGATTTGTCGCTTCTAATAATACTCCTTAAGCAACAAGTCCTATCTTAGATCGACCAACGCCTTCTTTTCGATTCTGCTTATGCTTGCTTTGTATCGTAGCGCGTCATTTAAATCCACGTTGATGTATATGTTATCGGTTGTGTGACACTCAGATATTGTATAGATTATTACCTAAGCATTCTACAGATTGTCTATCAATTTATATATATATATATATAAAATGCTTAGATATTTTATATATCTAAGATATATTATACAATATAAGATATATAAGATATATAATTCTTAAGTATTCTATAATGCCGAATTTTTTTATTTTGCCGGTAACATATAAAGCACATAATCATTCGTAATAAGCGGAATAATAGCTCATATAACGTTATATCTATTAATTTATTATTATCTATGATTTATTTATATCTATTAGATTTTCTATTAATCCTTCGACGAATTTTGCAGGGTTAATATAGAACCAAGATGTCGGTCCAATTTTACTCATATTTTCGTTCAATATAATTACGGGTAATAACGTAGCGTTAACATTTACATTAATTTAGGAAATTAAATTTTCCCGATGTTTATTCGCCGCAAATGAAGTAAATAAGTACCGAATATTAACTCGAATCGATGTTCATCACAGTTGCCGATCGCAACAAATATATAAAAAACTTATAATCGCATCATACGGTGTTTCTGTTCGAAAAACAGCCTCGAGTGCATGTGCAAGTTTTTGTCCCCTTCGAGGCTTGCGCGTGTAATTCTTCTCTTAGAAAAATGCAACTGCGACGCAGTTTTCCCGCAAACCGCGGGTCAGTTGTTTCATCCGCGCTGTGGCAGTCAGCCCGCGATTCGTCGACTCCGTAATAGCGAATGACCTTTCGAGAAATGTCGCCACGGGTCGTCGGTAAAATTCAGTCGCGCGTATTATTGGCGCATCCCCGCGATCTCGTCAGTAATTATCGCGCCGTCACCTTTTGTTTGTCGCGATCGATCGTTCGGTAACTGCAACTCTTGACCTTCAGCAACTTTACCGGATAGAGGGACGTGCGGACGGACTCTTTATGCGCGGGGTCGTCACGTGGAAGCGATTTTTATTGCGTCGCATCCTCGACCCTTCCTCGTTAGGGGATCGATCGAGACGTGCGACGTATTTATAAACGCGTTTCTCAATGAAATCGAGGAAATATCGCTTCACAATCGGCGCGTGTACGCGTGTGCGCCCACGTCTCCTTGCAGCTCTATTTTCTTTTCCTCTCACGAGCGACAGAAGGTTGTAACACTGCTTGAGTTTTATCTTATATCACTATATTTTCACGGAAGTACCGCGGAAATTGCATTTCGCGACGCCTCTCGATATTGCCATCGAACTTTCACCGACGCATGGCACCTTCCGCTTTGTTGGCTATTAATCGATTAAAGTTTCCTTTAACTATAATAAACGGCAAATTTAATCTATCGTCATATAGAAAATAAAAAAATAATTTTATCCATCGGTGAGATTATTCGCGATTTAAAAATTTCCTTTGATCAAAATAATCAGCAAATTGATAATCAAAAATAATCAATCGTCATAAACAAAATAAAATGATTTCATCGGTTAATGAGATTAATTATTAATCAAACTTTGATGTAATTATCATACACCGAATAATTTATTTAATCAGTCGATTAAATTACTCGTAATTATATATATGACGATTAATTGATTTTAATTATTGACTTGCCGATTATTTTACTGAAAGAAAATTTTAGTCGATTAATGTCCATCATTGGCCTCCCAGTGTCCCTTCGCGAGGAAGAAAAATAAAATCGCGCGAAATCCTACTGTCTCCACCTCGTGTTTCCTCCGCGTCGCGCAGAAGAGCCTTGGAGGAGCGTCGGCTGGCGTCTCGAGGATCCATTGTCTTCCTACGCTCGGTTCGTCCTTCCTTCCGTCTCCTTCGTACTCTCCTTTTTTCCTCGTGCACTCTGCACGGGATTGACCACGGAAACAAAGAGCGTTGTAGTCACGACCGTAAAAAAGAAAAAGATCGCGTCGCCGACGAAGAGAGAAACGAGCTTGGACGGGAGAGTTGCGCGGACGAGCGAAATTTTTGATATTCGCTTAACTATATAATAACAACGTGTCTTGGAACGTTGTTGGTAATGATGAGTATATTTTTCCTACTCGTCATTTTTGTCGGCTTTGACACGAACGAGTTTTTCTCGCCGAGCATTTATCGTGACTGCAGCAGAGTATCGTTCGCTGTGCGATCGTATACATGGCTTCCTTCTCCGGCGAGCGAAGCCAGCCGGAAATTGGCGCTATGGGGGTGGTGACTCATCGTCCATTTCGTATGGGGTGCGCCCGTTTATGGGGTGCGTGTAACGTCATCTGCAAAATTAATCAGTCTCCGGCGATCGTAACCATCTCAGTCGTGTCGCAAATAATCTCTCGTCATTCGAAACCCGGGCGATACCTTTGATCGTGATGAGCCGACGGAAATGAGTGCGCCAATTAAACTCGCACGAATCGAATACGCTCTTGTTAGAGTAGTCGAAATGATGTCGAGTGCAGTCGCGGGTTAAAACGTCGATCGAGGCTAGAACAAGGACATACGAGCTTGAAACACGAGAAACGACTGGAACGTTCGCTGGACGACGAAATCGTTTTGTTTTTCCGGCGGATTCGGTACGACCCTTTTTACTTGAGCCGAGTATGTTCGCCTAAAAATACGACGCGACTCGCGAGGAGGAACGGAATCTCCTTCATTTTCTGTTTCGTTAGCTCGCCATTGAGCGCGTCGG